ATGGTAATTGAACCTGGATGATACTGATCATTGTTACAGATTTTTGCCCAAATTTTATTCTAGACAAGGGCTCATCATAGAACAGCCTAAGTTAGAAGGGACCTCAAAAGACCATTTTGTCCAGCATTTTGTGGGAAAGGAGTTATGGTCATCCACAGAAGCACAGCACCTCTAACGTGAATGACTAACTCCGTCCACCTCAACTGAACAGTTGTTTTAAAAGAAATGTACTTGCATACATCATCTTTACAGTATGTCTCAGTTAACACTTAACTCAGAAAGTGCCATAGCGTTACACTGGTGTTTCAGGACAATACACATGTCTCAGTGTGCATATTGGAAGGCGTGGTTTAGATTTCTGCCTATCTGTGGAAGACTCACCATCAGCAGTTACACTGTCAAAGAGAACAGAAGCAAAACAGAAAAACTTGAAAACTGCTGAAAAGTTGGCTGATTAATTTTGAAAAACGATTTGTCTGAAAGGAAAGGAGAAAAAAAAGGATACTGATAATGAGGCAAACAGAAGCTGGTTACCATAGTTTATTTATTGTGAAAAAGAGACAGAAAGATGTCTGAAGGTACTTTTGCCCTCTACTCTGCCCTTGTGAGACCTCACCTGGAGTACTGTGTCCAGTTCTGGAGCCCCCAACATAAGAAGGACATGGACCAGTTGGAGAGGGTCCAGAGGAGGGCCACGAAGATGATAAGAGGGCTGGAGCACCTTTCCTATGAGAACAGGCTGAAAGAGTTGGGGCTGTGCAGCCTGGAGAAGAGGAGGCTCCCGGGTGACCTTATAGCGGTCTTCCAGTACCTCAAGGGGGCCTACAGGAAAGATGGGGAGAGGCTGTTCAGGAGGGCCTGTTGTGATAGGACAAGGGGTAATGGTTTTAAAATAGAGGGAGGTAGATTCAGGTTGGATATTAGGAAAAAATTTTTTACCATGAGAGTTGTAGAACACTGGAACAGGTTGCCCAGAGAGGTGGTGGATGCTCCATCCCTGGAGACGTTCAAGGCCCGGTTGGATGAGGCCCTGAGCAACCTGATCTAGTTGGAGATATCCCTGTTCCTTGCAGGGGGGTTGGACTAGATGACCTTTGAAGGTCCCTTCCAGCCCTAACCATTCTATGATTCTATGATTCATTTCAGGGATTGACTGGAATTGTCAACAGGCAAAAACATGGAGCAATGCAAAGCGATCATCTTCTACTTGTCTATGTAAACAATGAAAAGGTACTGGAAGGAGGCAGTCCAATAAGCAGAAGCAACCAAGTATTAACTTAAGCAGCCAATCATCAAATAATTTTATGTCTTCGTTTCTGATACAAAAAGTAGGAAGAGAGGTTTTCCTGATAAACTCTTCCAGGCAGAGCACAATGATACAGAAGCTACATCTAGTCATCTGCCCAATTACAAAGATCAGCCACACTTCAAGAAAAAAAAGCATTTATCCCAAATGTTACAGTTCCTTAAATACTATATATAAGATGTATACTTTACATAGTTCTCTACATCAGTGTTCTTTGAATAACTGGTCACTTATGAATATGTTGACTATGCCCCTATTACTGAAAGTTAATAGGAAACAAAGTATTTAAAACTTCAGATCTGTCACAGCTCTTCTAGACGTATACATGTCAGTATGAATCTAAAAAGAAACTAAACAATAAAGGAATTACAATATCAGAGAAACTATGCTGCCCCTCCCCAGTAATGTGCTGCTTTCTGAAAAAAAGTATTTGCTATTCATTCCCTTCTACATAATCCACTGAAATTAACAAATGCTCTCCTGAGAAATTTTTAGTTATTTTTATACTAACATGAGGATCTCTCGAAATCAAATTTATGTACTCCCTTGAAATCCACCATCTGCCTGCGGGATACAATCTATGACTTGCAGTTCCTTATGTTGTTGGCAATGTATCTAGCCAGGGCAAGGAAAGAGAAGCAGTGGGAACTTTGCAATACTCAGCAATGAGAAACCAGAGAAAGAATTTATTGCATTAATTAAACTGCTATTTGTCCCAGATTTTGTGCAAATGGCAAGAGATGAGGAGGGTGTTTACAGTACTATCTATTTCCTGAGGCAGCTTGGATGTTAAAAAGTCTGCCTGCACTGCATGAATGCAGGAAAGTCACTGCAGCAAGTTTCAAGGCAATGACGTTTCTATCTCTAGGATTATTTGTTCACTATCCTGGATAAACAGCCAAAATTGTAACAATCAGACAGGCTCTGGTACATGCATAGGAAAAAACCTTCCGGCCTTTTTGCTGTCCCTAGGAATAACAGACCTTTTTGGCGTCTAGAATAAAAGGACAGACTCTGAAAGCCCTCAGAGCAGCGATAAGCCCTACTGGCCCTGCCCGATTTCCCCTGAGGACTCCTCTTGCGCCCTACCCATGGGATCCGCTTCCATCTGCCCCAGGGGTGTTAGTCCCTGCCAGAGCTCATGTCTGGCTCTGCTGCCTGGGTGGACCTCAGACCTATGCTATAGGCAGCTTCTCTCCCTGAAGGACCCCTTGGATGAAGTATCCAGCATTGACTTTGATCCTGTCTCCTGGATGGATGCACACTGTTGCTTTGCCTCCAGCCCTGTCTCTGGTCCCATCTCCTACTGCTCCAGATGGACCCTGAACCTGACCCACCACTTGTGTTGTCTGGGATGGCTGATAGAGCTTGTTACCAGAGCCTTGCTCTGTCCACTCCACTTGGCTGCCAGGACTGTCTCCTGGACAATGAGAATGCTGATTGTGCTGTAGCTACTTTGGGTGCCTGGCTCCTATCACCTTGTGCAGCAGCCCCACGCTTGCTCCTCCCCTGGACACAGCCTGTGTTGCTCGTGAGGTCACCGGACCTTGCAGTGGACTTTATGCACCTCTCTCAAGCAAATCCACGCAGAACAAAGATGAAATGTAACAGTAGGGCAGCATGTTCCTCATTTTCTGAAGATAACCTCTGCTCTCTCAATCTACTCTCTCCACAAACAGAAAATTCACTGAGAACTTTTGCTATTTTCCACTCATTCAAAAAAACAAGTATTAAATACTGGGCATCGATTGTAGGTTACTTTATGAGACACACAAGCCTAAACTCTGCCAGTATGTCACTTCTCTCATATTGCATACCTTGTAACAAGTAAAGTAGAACAATCTGTTGATGCAAAAAGGATTCCATTTTAAAAGGCACATTCTCATTTGTAATTAAGTAGTCAAAAGTTTAGCTAGATGAATGCTGCAAGTATATGCTCTATTGATTTCTAGTATTTTTTGCTGGGATTCGTTATGACAGGAAACATGTTCAAATCATACTTTTGGTGTCATATATCACAAGATCACTGTAAGTCCACCGCAAACCTCCAAAATGAACTCTTAAAGTATATCTCTTACCACGGCTTATTTTAATTTCATCTATGCCTTGTCTACATAGCACAACGAATCATACTTAAAATGGTCAGCTTAATTGCAACTGATAAACAATTTGTGCTGTAACAAAATCGACATAGCTGTGGTGCATTGACCTTGGCTGGCCACCAAGTCACTCCATCACTCCGCTTCCATTCTTCACTGACCTTGCTGCCTGCATAGTTGTTTCTCCCACATATTCCCACTCCTCCCTCCCTGCTGCTGTTGCACAGCGTTTTTTACCCTTCTTAAATACATTATCACAGAGCAGCTATCAACATCACTGATTGGCTCAGCTTTGATCAGTGGTGGGTATTTTGGAGTCTGGAACTGGCTCTGGTAGACACAGGGGCAGCTTCCGGTGCCATCCCTACAGTCCCCCTACTACCAAAACCTTGCGACGTAAAGCCAATACAGTAGCAAGGGTGAATGGGTTGTAACAATGCTCTTTCTTGGTCAAAATGTATTTATGACCCTGCCAGCTGGCTAAACCTGGATGCACGGAAACATAATACGATTGCTAAAAAACGTCCTTTACTCTGTTGGAGACTTAAAATTTTAAGTATTCTATCCAAGGAGTTACTGAGGATGTAAATAGTTGCTTCAAGAAAACACAAATAAAATGAATATATTGTATCGGCAGGGAATGGAGTCTGCAACATTTCTGGAAAAACTGAAGCACTTTTTGTGACTGATAGACAATTCTTTAATAGCATAAGAAGAAATCTGCTAAGTTTATGGTGGGAATCTGGTGAAAAAGCAATGTCAAACAGTTACCTAGGGTTCAATGCATTTGACAGCATTTATGTTTTGGGAAATTTGCTTTTGCATTCCAGTCATGAACACACAACTACATTGGACTTCGAACTACAGAGTTTTGATTTACTACAAGCTGAATACTTACCTGCTCTTCCATGGAAACATCCTTCATCCTCTATTGTTGTATATCACAGCATGAAGGTGTTTTAGTAGGAAAAACTTGAGAGTTCAGAATGTGATTTATATTACGAATTGTTTTAGGCATCTGCTGGACTATACTGCAACTTGCTCTCAACCTTCACTCTTCTTAGGAAAGAGTCTGGTTATGATGAGGTAATTCTGACAGCTGCAAGTCTTTCCCTTACAAGGAATCCCTACATTGTTTAAAATTTGGCATCTGTACTTACTAACTGTACTCTCATCATGAGGAACCCCTGGGATACCTTAACTAAGTGATTCCCAGATAACCTGCTTGAAAAACAATTATCTTTTTTTAAAACATTGTTCTATAACTCATATTACAGTACTGGAAAAAAATGAGTGACAAATTAAAACTTAGCACGGCGTCTTCTTAATAGACTAAAAGTTGTTGCCCAGTATTTATTGCCAGGCATGTCAGCCCTTGACATTCCTGTTGTGCTAGATATTATATAAACATATATTAAAACTGCTGATCCTGCCTTAAAATGTGTGCAGTCAAATGATTAGGAAAATCACCCACAAACACAGTAAACGGGTCAAAGTCATGAATGTTGCTTCTGATTAAAGATGAAAACCAGTAGCCATTACTATTGCAGAGGAAGAGCACTACTTCCTGACATATTACAATGTTATTGCCTCACCTGTGGTTCCTTGTTGTGTTGGCTAGGATCCTTTTCATAACTCTCTGCATAGATCCGGAGAGTAGCTCTCACATGGCTAGAAGCACTCATCCTGAAGATGAGCCTGGAAGCATCTGAAAAAATAATCCGCAGTCCCTATGAGAGAAGACAGAGCAGCATATACGTAAGGTGGCAGCACCTTAAGACAGTGAAAGTAAGAGTCATTTGGGTGCAATTC